GACCCTTCTTTCTGAAGAAGGGTCTAGGCCCGAAACGTCAGCCTTCCTGCTCCTCTGATGCTGCGTGGCCTGCTGTGTTCATCCAGCTCTACACCCTGTTATCTCACTTTCTGATATGTGTTTTGAGAACATGTCTTTGGAAATTTAGAATGAAAGATGCAATCATAAATCCTTCCTGGATCTGTTAGTTCCTGGGCTTCCATTGTTGTTGCTCAAAACAAAGTTCTATGTTACAAGTAGTAGTGACCGGTGTGTGACTTTTGCTCTAATTACTGTTGTCCCTCTACCCTATGTGTTTGTATGTTAAAAATGGCTTAAAATAAATCCAAACATTTGTGTGGGTAGTATCATGTAATAACTTGCAATGTTTGCCTCTTTCAAATTTATTCCAAGAATCTTCCTTGTTCAGTAATGTACTGTATGTTTATTGAAATGTGTTTTGCAGTGCTCACCAATTTATAGAATTAGTTTACGGCAGTGAGGGAAGTCAAGGCTAATGTTTTGGAAATGCTCCAAAGAGATCAGAGGATAAGCCACAGTCTAAACTGATCCATGTGGTTTCATCTAGAAATGTGTAGATAATCAAAAATAACTACTTAAAAAGGATGTTTTCATTATGTTTACCTAACATAGAATGATTTCTGGAAGATACCTTCTCCCTGCATCACCCTTCCACCATTTCATGTCTTTTTTAGATGAATTGGGGTGGAGAGTGAAGTTATTGTTTCTTTAGCTTCTATTTTGTGCTTCATGTTTAGCTTCAAAAACTCCTTCCTATCAATAAGTTGTATAAGACACAAGATGGTGGATCCCAAACTGACTGTGGATAGGAGTTTCCAGGAGGCTATCTAGAAGGGGGTAACTTAGACTGCTTCTGTTGGATACACCATGGAGTCTAATTGCAGTAGTGTTGGTACCATATCAAACCTGGTATGAACAGCTTTCAAATTCTGTTGAAGGCACCAGGCACTTTTAAATTCTTGTGAAATATATTTAAAATATGTATAGAGAGTCCCCCGAGGCAGCCTCTTAAGTACTTAGGATCAATTTTTCATTCCCCAGTCAGTAAGATAGTTAGATTTGTGGGATTCATGCATGCAAGGACAATTTGCCATTCATTACTCTTGACTAGTCCTGTCACATGTTTGTAATGTGCTAAATTGCATAGCATAGCCTAATCAGGCATTATGCTGAGTTAAACTAAACCCATGACTAATATCAGGGAGCACTTATTCGTGGAATGACTGAGCACTACTAGGAGTGGCTTTTCTGGATTGGGTAGGATAGGATCGGATATTATAGAGCTGAAAGGGCAAAAAAATCTGGAATTATTCAAGGATCACTTAACTAATGTTTTGGAGAAGACTATAGAGAATTGGTGCATGGAAAGAACATTAATGGTCTCCGTACACTGTAATTGTTTAATGTCTTGTTCCTGATGAATTCCTCACTTCTTTTAGGTGGAAAACCTCCAGGACTATTTATCTGTCGAAGAGAAGGAGAGGGTTAAGTTTGTTCACTTTGTAGAGAAGCTGTATTCCTCCGCACAAATCATGGAATGTCCTTTACAGAACGGGTAAAGTTCATTTTTATATGATGCACAGAGGCTATCTGTCAATTATGAGGCAATATCTCATTGCAACTTTCTTGTGTTGTCAAAAGTAACAGCAGGAATTTCTCCCTGATGAATTATTGTCTTATACTCATAGTCATAGGATCACAGAGTCATGGAGATATACAGCATGGAAACAGACCATTGGGTCCAACTCATCCATACTGACCAGATATCTTAAATTAATCTAGTCCCATTTTACCAGCATTTGGCCCATATCCCTCTAAACCCTTCCTATTCATACACCCATCCAGATGCCTTTTTAAATATTGTAATAGTACCAGCCTCCACCACTTCGTTCAGCTCGTTCCATACACACACCACCCTCTGCATGAAAAAGTTGCCCCTTTAGATCCCTTTTAAATCTGTACCCTCTCACTTAAAACCTATGCCCTCTAGTTTTGGACTCACCCAGCCCAGGGAAAAGGCCTTGTCTATTTACCCTATCCATACCCCTTATGATTTTATAAACCTCTAAGGTCAGCCCTTAGCCTCTGATGCTCCAGGGAAAACAGCCGCAGTGTATTCAACCTCTCCCTTTAGCCCAAACCCTCCAACCCCAGCAATATCCTTGTAAATCTTGTATGAACTCTTTCAAGTTTCACAACGTTGTTCCTATAGCAGGGAGACTAGAATTGAACACTGGTTAGGCCATGTTGGAATACAATGTCCTGCACATCTACAATATGACCTCCCAACTTCTATACTCAATGCACTGACCAATAAAGTCAAGCATACCAAACACTGCCTTCACTATCCTATTTGCTTGTGACTCTACTTTCAAGGAACTATGAACCTACACTCCAAGGTCTCTTTGTTCTGCAACACTGCCCAGGACCTTCCCATTAAGTGTATAAGTCCTGCCCTGATTTATCTTTCCAAAATGCAGCATCTCACATTTATCTAAATTAAACTCCATCTGCCACTCCTCAACCCATTGGCCCACCTGATCAAGGTCCCGTAGTACTGTACTTCATGCATAATGTTTTTTATATATGTTTATGTATAATCCTCTCTGCCCTGTTGTGTGTAGTGAAGCAGAGGTAAAAAGTTAATAATTATTGTTTGATGCCTTGTCAAAGCTGCTGTGCTAGGAGGCAGAAACTGACTCTCTCTACATTGAATTTTGATGTGCTATTCCACAATACTTAATAACTGAACAGTTTTCTAATGCAGGTTAAAATCCACAAATTTGCTTACACCTCTTCAACGTTGTAGTTTGAAATAGAATTGCAGTTTTCAGTTTCTTGCTGTAAATTTACTTCAATTGCCTTTGAATAATTTTTTGAAAAAATTCTCAACTTAGTCATGCTTAGACAAGCCCTCTACCTCCACAAATTGAATGTAACCTTCATGCTCCTCAATTACTTCATAGGGCACAGTTCTTCATGTTTTATAATGTACTTTTTCAGGATATGTTTTTATCTTCCTTTATTACAAATTGTGTCACTAAGCTCAGTTGGTAGCATTGTAGCCTGCGTCAGAAGGTTGTATGTCCTGTTCTACGTTAGATTTGTGAACTAAAGCCCGAGTTGACACTCCAGTTTGATACTGAGAGGGAACTACGCTATCGGAAGTTTTTGAATGAGACCTTGAAACAGTCCATGCCTGCCCTGTTGATGGTTGTACAAGGATCATATGCCATTACTTAGAAAAACAAGGGAACTTTCCCTGGAATTCTGGCCGATATTTACCATTTTGATCAACATCAATAACCAAATCATCTAGTCATTGTCATAAAACTGCTGATGGGAATTTGTTACAAACAAATTGGTGACCGTGTTTGCTGTATGCACTCCAATATGCCAACGTTTTCATGCACAAGTTTGGGCAAGACTTCCTTGCTGCACAGGACCTCCAACCAATGCTAGACATCAGATACATTGACAACATTTTCTTCCTTTTGGACTCATGGCAAGGAATTGCTGAAACAACTACATAGCTATATCAACAAGTTTCATCCCACAGTCAGACATACCATGGGCTACTCTTTAGAATCAGTCTCATTCTTGGACACCCACATCTCCATCAAGGATGGACACCTCGGTATCTCACTCTACTGCAAGCCCATGGATAATCTCACGATGCTGCACTTCTCTAGCTTCCACCCTAAACATGTTAAAGAAGCCACCCCCTGCGGACAGGCCTGCGTAGACACAGGATCTGCTCAGATGAGGAGGAATGCAACGGATACCTAAAGGTTTTGAAGAATACCCACATAAGAAAAGGATACCATGCTCAACTCAACAATTACCAGTCCTGATGTGCCACAGTGAAAAATCGCACTGACTCCTCAGAAGGCAGACACAGGATATGACTGATAGAGTACCGTTCATCATCCAGTACCTCCCTGGAGCAGAGAAACTACGCCATGTTCTTTGCAGTTTCAACATGTCATTGATGATGAGCGTTTCGCCAAGATCTACCCAACACCTCCACTTCTTTCCTTCAAGTAACTGCCAAACCTCAAACAGACCATTGCTCGCAGCAAACTTCCCAGCCTTCAGGACAACACCGACCACAACACTATACAACCCTGTCATGACAACCTCTGCAAGACATGTCAGAACATTGACATGGACACTACTATCACATGTGGGAACACCACCCACCACATACACCGTAGATTCATTATGACATACATCCCTAGATTAGGTTGGACCTACACCTGGACCTTCTGGCCCAGAGGTAGTACACTACCACTATCCTAAGTCCTGTTGTGGCATATCGTAAGAATATGTTTATAAATATTTTCTGAACAACCTGTTCAGTGATGTTATTATCCCAACTCTGGAGCGGGTGAGATTTGATCCTGGGCCTCCTAGTCCAAAAGGTACGGACACTATCAATGCACCATGTGAGCCCTCTGAGGACAGCTGCTGAATGAGACCTCAGCAAGGAGCAATCAGCTGTCCTTGTGCCTGCCACAAATGGTCATTTGTGTGGAAGCCTTGGGCTCTATTTCTCACAACTGAGTGTCTTTTCCTAATGTTGATGCACATCTCTTTCCAACAGGGATTGATAAATAATTATCAGAAATTGAATGTTTGCCTTTTATTTCACCCCCTGCAACCCAGAGATGCCAAGGTCATTTGTCACACGCCTAGTATCGGAGTCCTGGAGTGGTTAATCTAATATTTTAGATGGTGGAGATTGTATTGGGCTGCAGGGTTTATTTTGTTAAGCAAGATGTGCATGACAATCAGCCTTGGTATATTTTGAGTGTCTAACATTATTGAAGATCTGGCACATTTAGACCTGAATGTCTAGACCTGAAGACTTTGAATCCATATCTATGGATATTTGGCTACAATCTGTCTACAATTACATTTAATTGTAAACACTGTGATGGTACATTTATACTATATTGTTATTATTTAGGAACTTGGAATTGCAAATGGATGATAAGTAGGTTTTAGGTTTCAGTTGTGTGAAGGTATGACTTTATTGGCAAAAGTCAGAAGTAACTCTGAGCAGAGAACTAAAGGACAGTTTTTCCAAGAAAGCACGTGGCTTAATTTAAATAACTCGATCAGCTAATTAGGGAGTTAATTGTTGAATGATTTCAAAGTCAGGCTTTGAGACAGATGGTTAGGGGTCACTCATAAATTGAGATCAGAAGATAAGTCATCCTCACAGAAGGGCCGGTTACTAGTTCAGAGGTCCTTAGCCAGAGTGTTTGGTTTGTATTGCTCTTCAACTGAGTGTGTGAGATTTGTATAACTGTCCGGGCTCTTGCATTAGAAATGCATTTTCAGGTCATCAGAGCTGAAAAGAAGTCTTAAGCTGCTTCTGCAGGCCATGGAGGACTCAAAGGTCATTTGAGTAAGAAATTAAAAAGTTAGCTTATGAGTGGGCCTTCCTTGTGATTGACTGTAACGGATATTGCTGGGAAAAGAGTTGAGTATTTTTGCTGTTTATGTTAGGATCTTTCCAAGTTTTATTTATATATACAGTATGTGTAGTTATGTTTCCCTTTGTGTGAATATGTTCAGTGACTGAGCATTCTTCCTGTACTTAAAGTGCGAAAATCAAATTTATTTATCAAGCCAGGTTTCAGCTCTGCCTTGTCTAGTATTGTCATTAACTGGGATCACCGTAACACATATTCTGGAGTACTCGCGTTATCACTTCATAAGCTTTCTACACCATTTTAAATGGCAAACTTTGAGAGTTTTAATTATGCCTTTACTGAGGACCCAATGCACTTCTCCAGGTCACTTCTTAGCCAAGTTATTGTGGCTACCAAACGTGCAGCATTTTTAGTCTGTTTATTTAGGAAAGGAATGAGTGGAAATTTCACTTTAACTGATTTGTTAGTGAGTTTTCTAAACTTCCCTTGTTAGTGTAATTTTCTGTTAGGACATAATAGCATTGCTATGACCTGTGATACTTAGCAAAGTGAGAACAGGGGACCTTCCCATCTGACCTCCCCCCCC